CGTTGTTGTTCTTCCTCCCTCCTTCGCCACCATAGCCTCCCTCCCTTGACGTGGCACTGTGTGAGGCTGTCAGTCAGACTTTGCGATTTTTTTTTTCAGATCAAATTCTTCTTCTTCTTCTTCTTCTTCTTCTTCTTCTTCTTCTTCTTCTTCTCCTCCTTGTTCTTCTTCATCATACCTCACATTGTCGACTCCATCCATCGCCACCATAGCCTCCCCCGTTTGGATTTTTTTTTTCTTTCACTTCTTCTTCTTCTTCTTCTTCTTCTTCTTCTCCTCCTCCTTCTCCTTCCCCTCGTCGTTCACGACATTGTGCAAGATGGCGTCTTCAAGTGCGGCAGGCACTTCGAGGAAGAAGGAGGCAGCGGGTTCGGACTCTACGGCCACGCGTGTGAAGGAAGCATTTGTGCCACAGCCTGAGGCAAGGCAATTGCAGCTGCAGGCGACGAAGGTGGCATTCAAGTGGGTAACGCAGGGGCAGATGGTCCCGCCATTGTCCAAGGGGAAGTACAGGGTGAAGTGTACTTTATGTGGCGCAGATTGGGTTGCATCGTACACGCGTGTGTGGCCACACTTCACACGGAAAACCCTTCCTTTCCCGGGTCGTTTTCCGGAAATGCTTCACATCCTTGCTGCTACGGGCCACAAGATCGACTACAAGAAGATGCAGCGGCTCATCCAACTATACCGAATGGAGCACAACATCCCCTTCGACGGTTTGACCCCCGCAATTCCGGAGGAGGCTCAAGGGGATACATTGGATAAGTTCATAGTGCCACCAGCAGGGCGGCGAAGCAGAACGGTGCCATTGTCAACGGTTGATGAAGAAGGGCCACAGGGGATTGACGAGGAAGGCGGTGGAATGGCAAGGACGTCTGCACAAGGATCTGCTGCAGGCCAGAAGTCGGGGAAGTTGACACAAGTGTCAATCAAAAGGTGGACAACGAATGATTCTCAGCGGCGATTGGATATCGCATGGGGGATGCACCTTTGTCGACACGGTGCCCCGTTTAACTACGTCAGGACAACACAGACTCAGGAGCTGCACGATTTGTACCTTGAGTTGGGGGAGAAAAACAGCGGGTGAAGATGCCTTCGTTGGAGGTCGTTCGAACTATAGTGTTGGACATCATCTATGACAAAGTTCAGGAAGATATGCGGCCGATGAGTGCAAAGTGGGACAACACAGGTTGCACCCTCATCACTGATGGGTGCACAGATCGAAGGTACAGGCCTGTGATGAACTTCATCGGGGCCAGCGAGAGCGGTGCAATCCTCCTGAAGGTCGTGGATGTGTCGAAGAAGAAAAAGACTGCAGTTGCTTTGGCGATGATGTGAGAGCAAGTCATCAGGGACATCGGGGTGCAGCAGGTGAATGCAATCTGCACAGACAATGCAGAAGTCAACAAGCAAGCTGCACGGATCCTATGAAGGCGCACTGATCGCGACATATCTAGCATTCCATGGGTCCCGTGCGCAGCGCATTGCTTGAGCTTGTTGATGAAGGACATCTGCGAGCTGGATTGGGTGAAGGAGGTGGTGCAGCGCACAAAGATGATGGTGAAGTTCATAAGGAGACACCATCACACCGCCTCCCTTTACACGAAGTGTTCAGAACTGTCTTGGGAGTTGACGTTGATTTTGCCCACGGAGGTTTGGTTTGCTTCCTCATACATGATGATGAGCAGGTTTTGGGGCAGGCGACGTGTGCTAGAGGATATGATGGAGGAGGGGTGGAGGCTGTTGAGGTGGAGTGCAAGGAAAGATCGAGACAAGTCCGACACTACGTACATGACTGTCACTGAGAACGAGTGGTGGGTGAAGTTGCGGACAGTTTTGGATGTGTTGGAGCCGATAGACGAGTTGTTGAGGAAGATGGACCGCAATGGCACAGCCCCCCCAAGCCTTTGGCATTTCGACGAGGGGTTGGGGAGGCGTCTCAATGCACTCACGGGTTTGACCGATGTTCAGTGGCAGGCAATCATGAAGGCAGTCCGCAAGCGCACGAAGATGATGAGGCAGCCTGTTCACGCGGCAAACTTTCTTCTCGACCCAAGGAGGAGAGACATGAAGTGGTTGCTGGACATGCAAACCCCGTTGGTCCAAAACACCCTCAAGTTCTTCTTGTCACAGTGCAAAGAGGAGGTCACTTGGGGGTGCAGGGAGCAACTCGATCTGTGGGCAGACTTGCAAGCATTCCACAGGGAGCCAACTGGAGACGTGGTGAAGGATCCAGTGACAGGGAAAGAGGTGGAGGAGAGCTTGTGGACCGAATTCGTGAAGTTTGACAGCTCGCTTACCCAAATGACGGCCTCTGAATGGTGGAACGCACACGGGGCCTCTCATAAGAAGTTGCGGGACATTGCCGTGAGGGTCACAGCGGTGTAGAGCACCGCAACCCCTTGTGAGAGGAACTGGTCATCTCTCGATCTTGTCCATGACAAGAGGAGGGGCCCGCTGTCCACTGACAGTCTCGCGAAATTAGTCTACGTCCACTGGAATCTTCAGCTGTTGGACATCAAGAAGAAGAGCATGGGAAGCTTGGCAGGGTACTTGGACATGTGGGCTGCATTCTTTGATGATGTGGAGGCGCCACCACCGAATGATCCTGCTGCATTGCCCAAGGCAGCGACTGTAGCAGATTTGACTGGCGATGAACTGGTCCACCAGGCAAATCTCACGAAAACTCCCTGGGCTAGGGTCCTCAAGTATCGGGCCGTTGATGAATCAAGCTCGTCGGACAATAGTGATGATGGGGAAGACCTTATTTGGAGAGGCAAAGGGAAGAAGAAAAGTGTCGTTGAAGTTCTTGACGATGGCAAAGGCAAGGCGCAGATGAGTGCGGACGTCGAGGAAGACGACGCCGAGGAGAGCGAGGAAGATGACGAGAACTTTACACTGCGGTCGCCACGAGCAAGCGACATGTCCAGCGACGACCACGAAGTGGATGAGGCCCTCACACGCAACGTGGAGCGGGGTCACCTAGATAGTGACCTCAAGGTATTGCGGCCCAGGGGGATGGACTTTAACGCACGCATCGGAGCGGATACGGACCTCGATGATGATGCTGAGAGGGCGAGGGCACAATCCCTTGCACAACGAGATCGTGCCCTCGTGGAGCAGCGGGTGCGAGAGGAAACAGCAAAACGAACTGTTGTCCCCCCTTCGGGGAGGAAGGACATGACACCGGGTGGAAGGGGCAGTTGCCTCGTAGCTGACGATGTTCAGCAGCAGCAACACAAGGAAGGCGTGCCGCAGCAGCAAGAAGAGGAAGAAATGCATCACCAGCGAGAGGATGGACTGCAGCAGCAAGAACAAGCAGAAGGGTTGCAACAGAAGACGCATGAGCAAGAAGATGGGCTACAGCACCAGCCGCAGCAAGAGGATGGGCTGCAGCAGCAGCAGCACCAGCACCAGCAGCACCAGCAGCACCAAGAGCCAGCGCAAGATGGGTTACAGCAGCAGCAAGAGGATCGGCTGCAGCAGCACCAGCAGCAGCACCAAGAGCCAGGGCAAGATGGGTTGCTGCAGCAGCAAGAGACTGGGCAGCAGCAGCTGCAACAGCAGCATCACGAAGGACTGCAGCAGCAGCAGCCTGATGAGGATGGACTGCGGCAGCATCAGCAGCAACAACATGATGGTCTGCAGCAGCAGCAGCAAGAGAAGGAGAGTGCGCAACCAATCACTCGAGTTTACTCCAGGCGGCCACAAGGGTCCACTGCAGCAGCCATCCTGGATGCGGTCCAAACCCTTCCTTTCCCACCAGAGATCGAGGACATGCAGCACGACAACTTGGACGTCAGCCTGGCAGGAAGGAAGCGAAAGGTGCAGCCTGACACTGGTCCAAAAGTGGCAAGGAAAAGGGGTCGCCCGAGGAAGTATCCACTGGCAGCGTCCGCAGGTGCTGCTGCCGGTGTGGATGGTGCTGAAGGGGGTGAGGTGCAAGAGCATGTCATTGCGGGGAGGAAGGTGCAAGGGGGCCCTACACTCGCAGTGGACGGTGTGGAGACAAGCCTGCCGAAGCGGCCGAAGCGGAAGGCGGCGAAGAAGGCGAGGGTCGTGGAAGAAGATCCAACTGACTCGGATGCAGAAGAAAGCAGCAGTGAGAGTGATGAAGAGGGTCGGGAAAGCGACTGGGAATAGCCACATACATCAGTGACACAGTGTGGCCCTGATGTATGTGTGGGGTTTTATAGACAGGGATCAGCGGGGGAGGAAGGTGCAAGGGGGCCCCACACTTCCAGTAGTTTGAGGGCTAAAAATGTTCGACAGTCAAAGTCAAAGTGGTGGTTGTTTCGGACAGTTAATCCCTTGGGTTTTCCAAGGCAATCAATGCTGTGCCTCTTCTTCTTTTAATTCGTGTGCTTCTTCTTCTTCTTCTTCTTCTTCTTCTTCTTCTTCTTTTACTTCTTGCACTTCTTCTTCGTTTTCTTCTTTCTTCTTCTGCTGTTATGACTGCTACCACGTTATGCCAATGGTGGCTCACTATTGATTAGAATTCATAGGACTCAGAAGTCCTTGGAACAGTTTCTGTGAATTTGTGGGTTGTACTTATGTTGTTTTCAAGTTCTGATTTTGAGTCTGCTCTCGTTGCTGGCATTTGCTGATTGAACCTGCCTCACTTTTGAGATTTTGTGGGGGATAGAGAAGCTGCTGTGTTCAGCCTTTCTTGCCGCAGCTGGTGCATGCAACCAGCAGCAGTTCATCAAGGACAGGCGGGACACAGCATCTACTGTATCCCGCGTCTTGTTATGATCCTGACCAGTTTCAAAGTACACATTCATCAGATAGTACAATGCCGTCCAATTGCAAAAGGAAACGAATGAACTTGAGAGAGGAGAAAGGGTAAGAAGAAGAAGAAGTAAGAAAGAAGACGGAGTTGATGTACACTAGCAATCCTCAATGTCACGGCCAAGTACCAGCCCTGCGGGCCCAATGAACGAACAAGTGCCCTTGCGGGTCACACACACACTTGAGCAGAAAAGCATTCAGAGTCTCAGACAGGCATGCAGACCAGCAAACACGCACACACACAGACTTAGCAAACCCAGCAACAAGCGGGAAACTCAGTAAGGCATTCTTTCCGTGAGCAAAGCTCAGAAATCAGTTGTGTGTCTCACTCCGTGTTTTGGCAGGTCATTACAGTCTTGCAAATGGACAACCCGCAATCCTGTCTCTTATACACATCTAGATGTGTATAAGAGACAGGGGCAGCAAGAGGCCGAAGTCGAAAAAAAAAAAAAAAAAAATCACTGCATTTTTGGCATGCCCGGGGTACCCCGGGCGTGGCCGGGCGCCCCAGGAAAGCTAGATTCTCTGTGTATTTCGAGCTTCCACTGTGCATATCTTCTCTCCGGTTTTGTGTGGATTTGCCTCCTTCGAGTCAACTCTGCAATTGCATGTGTGTATGCGAACGTGTGAATTCGTTGTGGATTGAAGTTCAATCGGGTACATAACAGTTGGTATCAGAGCTGCAACCGTGTGCAACTGGCGAGCAATTGTGTGGCAACCTCCTTTCTGAGCGGCGGTTGGAGTAGGGACTTGTTGTCTGCTTTCTTCAACGGGTGTCGTTGGTGAGAGGTGGTGGAAGGTAGTGTGCGAGGGGAGAATTACAGCAATAAAAAAAAAAAACAAAAAAAAACAGAGATACGGAGTGGTGGACCATTCACGGGAAGTATCAGCTGGCGAGACAAGAGTTGACTGGTGCGTCACCCCTAAGTGGCCCAGTGGACCTGAGTGTCAGGTGACCCTCAAGTCGCAGGCCATGCCCATAGACGGCACGAGACTTCAGTCTGTGCCGCTGCTGCAGTTACTTCGCCGAGTTTGATTGGAAGATTCACGAATCTCCGCTGCAGGTCTGACGTCGATGTCAGACAGGTCTACTTTATTTTGCAGCAGATTGGCGGTCAACGGTTGACCGCCCAGATATCTTCAATCACGGTTTGTCCAAGTGACTTCGGTCCTGTATTTTTTGGCCGTCACCAGACCCTGTCAGTGGTTGTCAGAGTCTGTCAGTCGTCAGTCCGTGTACAGTCTATGTCAGATAGGTTGTTACTTGTCAGTTCCCCTATTCTAATCTATAAATGGAGACATAATTAACCGTTTCTGATCTGCTGTGAGTGCGCAGTCAGTCCTGTGTGTCCCAACCGAGAACGGTGGCTTATTGTCAGTCCGTTGCGGTCTGTCTCTCAGTTCTGTCAGTCGCTAACTACAGTTGCCAGTCAGAAAATGGTCCATTAAGTGTCACTCTGCCAATGGCAGATTGCTAGTATGATGGCATATTCCGTTTTGAATAGAATAAGAGCCATCTGCAGACTGCACTAGCGGTAATCGAAATCCGCTCCGGTTTTATTTTTTTTTCCTTTTCCCTGATTGCATCGAAAAGTCTCTCTCCCACTTGTTGTAGAATGCTAACTGTTTCGGGAAGGCTCTGTGACGAGCCTGGTCACACTCATCATTGTCTTGTTGACTGGGTTGCATGCTCAGACGTGGCCATTCTGTTGAAGGTTTCGGCCGTTAGTCTGAGCCTGTACCTCCCCGGCTGTTTTTAGACATTTACCACTACCTGTCGTAAATCCCAAACCTTAGTAATATTTTACAAAACAGCACAGTTAAATTCTTTTATTTTTGTTCTGTGTGTGAACAGTAATCATAATTATATTTTTATTTGTTTTCTGACAAATAAAATTTGAAAAGACCATCATGGCCACCGAGGACAAGGCTAAGGGGCCTGCTGAAGGCGGGGAGACGTCTGCGAAGTCTGAGCCAGGCAGGGAAGAGCAGAAACCCCTAACTGAGGAAGAGCTCGTGGACGCAGCCCTGAAAGCAGCAGAGAAAGCTGCTGCAGATGCAGTTCGGGAAGTGGAGAGATTAAAGAGGGAGAAGGCAGAGGCAACTAGGAGAGGGGAAGCAACAGCCAGAAGATCTGAGCTGCTGGACACTATTTGCCAAGGTCCCTGCTGATGCCCGCGTAGCTGATGTCACACGGAATCTTGCAGAATTTGTACTGTTGGAATCCTGTTAGATACTTCAATGAGTATGGGCAGAACCAAAGATCAACCAATATAGGATGAGCATTTATGCAGCGGAAGTCTGATAACGAACTGACTCACATAGACTGACTCACATAGACTGACCTACATGGCATCACTCCACACACATACAGTCATGAGATGGTGGGGTCTGGGTCATTCATAGACGATACCCAGATCTCGTACATACATACACAGATGAAAGGTGGGAGGAGAGACGAAGGAGGTAGGAGGTAGATCACACCGATAGGTCACAAGATAGAGTCTGGTAGGTCTCCGAAAT